GCGTGGGAAAGAAATTGCATGGTGCGCATGCACCTGACCAACTTGCCTGGAGCGCTTACTGCTTGTTGTCAACATCCGCATCCTGGTTCTCATCACCGTTACCCTCAGCAGGCTTCTCCTCAGGAGAGCCATTGACGGGCTTGTCCGCGGAGGTGCTCTCAGCAGCCTTCACTTTCCTCGGGTTCGGCTTCTTGAAGGGCCCAGCAATCTTGGTGAGGTACAGCCGGGAGTTCTCCTTGCGAAAGATTGCAGAAGCAACCTTTCCCCGAAGCTGCGCCTGCGTCTTGGAAAGGCCTGCGGTCGTTGCCTTGCGGTAGGCGCTGCTGTACACATTGTTCCCCTTGACCCATGGCTCAGCCTTAAGCGTGTCATACAGGACCTGCAGCTCGTCAAGTTCCAAGTTGGGAAGCTTGGAAACCTCACCATCGTCTGTCAGCACAGCCCAGCGCTGCTTGTCCTCATCCTCCACGGCAGGCTCGCCGGGCGCAAGCGGCTCAGCCTGGGCTGGCTTGGCCTTGCCCTTGTTGAGCTTGCTTCTCTTGGATTGTGGCGCAGCTTCCGCGCTGCTCAGCTCGAGCTTGCCCTTCCTGCGCTTCATGCGGACGGGCTTCTCGCTGCAAGCCATGGCTTCAAGGTCCTTGACTTGCTCGGGGCCATGAACTTCATTGGGTTCGAGGTCTTTCACCTGCTCGGGGCCATGAACTTCATCGGGTTCACCATCGCGTGCCAGCTGCTGATGAAAGGGCTGTTTCTGCGACTTCTTCCGGGGTTTGAGCTGGTCTACATATGTGGCCTGCACGAGCTCGGGCGGAGGCTCATAGACAAAGTCTGGAAGCCCGGGAGGGAGCTCTGCTTCGAATATCTTCTCAGCCTCCTGTTTTCGTGTAAAATTGGCCATGGATTATATACAAGAAAGTCTCTACGCAGCATATATCGTGTGTCCTTGCCAGGCTGTCCCACAACACCAGGAACTGCAGGCGAAATGGCCTTAGCTAGCCATCAAGCACTTGAACTTTTAAGATGCCAAGTGTAGACCATGAAATCATGCCATGTTGCTGCCACACACTTGCGGGCCACAACAACAGCGTGGCACACACCACTCTGATCCACGGCCCAGATGGACTCAACGACCCCTTCTGCAATCGCTGGCTCCGGCACCGGGTGCTGCATCTCCGTGGGGCCCTCTGCAGTTGTCACAACGCAAGTGCCTGCAGGCAGCATTTCCGCAGCCTCAGCCTCACGCTCCAAGCCAGCGCCCAACGTGAGAGTCGCTTGCGAGTCGTGACTCTCCTGTGAGTCCTCGACCGGGCCCGCCTGAAGTGTCGCGGGATCGAGCAAAGGCTTTCCTTCGCTAAGGATCGCCTCCTCGTCCGAATCATAACAGGTCAGGAGGGTGTCGGCGTTGTCTGCCAAAGATCCGGTGCACCGCGCCGGGGTCGCAATGGGTCGTGAGGCATGAGCCTTATAATAGACATGATGAGGTGGGGTTCGTCAGGAGGTCTTATCAAAAACGGATCACAACCTATGCAAGTAAGCAACCAAGTCGGAACTGCTGCAGGCCATGGTGTCCGGCTCGTCATCCGAAATGAGATCCACGAACTCGTCCAGCTGCTTGCGGATGGCTTCCGCCAAATCAGATTCCGTCATCGGAATATCTTCATCTGCAGACACCTGAGTCATGGGGAAGTCGCCATCCTCCAGAGGCTCACCATCAATCTCCTTGATTGAAGCTCGAGATGCGCACAGCGCATGAAAAAAACGATTTGCAGGGCATGTCTCTACGCAATGTTGAAATTTAAATGCAGTCAGGTGGCTGAGTCCAAGAGCATGCCTTACATTACGAATGCACACGTGTCATGAAAGGAGGGGGGCGCATGGGAGGGTCTAACTGATATAACTACTTAGTACAGCGTGCAACCAAACTGCTACGTCCTCGAGTCCAATAAAGGATCTCTACATCATCGTCTGCCGTGTGACTGCTGTTTTTGCGGAGATGCGCGCGGCTCTTGAGAGGATTGTGTGCCATTACTGCCCTCAGCCTGTCTGCCACCTAGGGTTCGTCATGCTCGTTTGATGCGTTTTACGGACGGACAAGAAAACAATAAAGGCCCCCTGCCTCGCCCCTAGTCCCACGTTTTTCAGCGCGTCGCCAATAGGCACGAGCGTAGGCTAAGAGGGCCAACAAGGTGTACCCTTCCTAGGGACAAGTACGTGTGTAAGCACGCGCATCTTGTGTGACTTCCTATGCAGGCCAGCGTCATCATTGCACCACTTCCTTTTGGCACGCATGGTCTTTGCTTGCGCCAACATGCCTTGAGCATCCTCGTCGATCTTCGCAAAACACAGAACGAGAAAGTTAAGCGTGAAAGCTCCTGCATGCATGCAGCGCTGGAATCAAAAGCGCTCGATCCTATATATGGGGTACAACCGGCCATGTGCATGTTTTACAAAGTTCTTCACGCAGGATGGCCTTCAGGGCACAGCTCATACAAGCTGACAACGAGATCCAGGTTGTTGGTCAAATCAAGATAGCTGATATTTGAAGGGTTCCTGCTCCACATCTGGACAGATGCTGCAGCTAACAATCATGCCTACACGATGCTACAAGTATAAGTGCACTCGAGGCTCGAAACCTTTGGGAAAAGCGTATTGGCTGGTGGTTTCACTTTAGCGCAGCGCAACAAGGTCTCTGCGGGCACATGATACTTGACAAGTCCTTAATAGTCCAGCAATTGAATATCAAGTAGCGACGCAATAAAAGTACCCACCATTCGCACAATATCTTGCAAGCAGGTTGCCGGCCGCTTCCTTCTCCTTGCCGTCGAATAACCCCATGGCTTCGCCAACGTGGGGGGACAGCAAAGCAACAGCTATGTGGAAACCAAAAGCTTCACAGATCCAGGCTCGTCATACATGCAACACAAACAGCAAGAACGCAGTGAGCACCGTGCACGGATGCCACAAAGCTGCATGGAAAGTATTTTGCAAACAAAGCACCTGCAGACTCAATGCATGGCTGGGGGGTGTTTGGCCGCACCTCTCGAGATTCGACCACGCGGCATGGCATGGATTGGTCACGTAAAGCTAGGCGCTATTAATATAAATGTGAAAAACCATTAATCACACAGAGTGGCTCTCGAGTTGTTATGGACAACATTGGACAACGCTTGCAAAAGTATGCTACACATTTTTTTCCCGCCCCGCCCCCCTGTCAACAAAACCTAACACGACCAAGCGTCATCCTGAGCAAACTGAACCCTTCACGCCGTCCACATTGGCACAACTTGTCTCTGAGCCACTGCGTGATGTGTCTTGCCCAGGTTCCAAAGCAATTATGTTTCTGCGTGTCTGTGGTACATGAATGATAAGCGCCCCTTGCGCTGACCCCTCATGGCCAAAGGTCGGCCCCTCGGCCCCTCAAGCTTGAAATCCCCAGGGGCCACGCTACGTTACTGGAACACTCGGGGGGCCCGACACCTGCATTGCAGGGGTCGGCACCTGCTTAGCACATACCGCAGACCCTTAGGGTAAGCTGCCTCTTCACCACCAATGGGTTCATGCATCTGGGGGTGCTGTGCGAGCCTACTAGTAATCCACAACGTGGAAACTACTACATAACGGGAGATTCCATCTCCTGCTCAACTTTTCCCAATTATTCTTATTGAAAAGGAGAAGTAAGGCTTCTACATCATTGTAAGTCTCATGATGTCTTTGGTAAAGTCGGCAGACAACAGTATCGTCCCGTGTGCCACAATACTTGAATAATTTCAAATTGCCGTGAACTAGCGGAAACGAGAATGCAAACTACTACATCCCTTAGTAAATGGCAACGCGAATACAAGCCATTCTATGGTATACGGTTAGAATAGTCTTCTACAATGCAATAGAAGATGGAAGCTACTACTGTGATGCAGCCATTCATGAAGACCAAAACGTGGATACAGTCAAACAGTAGTAGGATGACTTGAATTTGGAGGGCCCCTGGGCCCTTGGGGATCTTATGGAATGTGCCCTTCGCACAATTTTCGGACTGCTCTTGGAGACTTGGAGTACTCTTCGTGTTCATGACGGCATTGACAGTAGTTCTCGAGTCTTCTATGATATCAACTTGCAAAACTGGATCTAACATTATACCCTAAACCCCCAAAACCCCACTGTAACCCCCCATATAACCCCAATATCAACCCAAATAAGAACCACATATAACCTTGTAACCCCAATATAGACCCTAGCAGGACAGAGTAAACCCTAAACCCCTAAGCCCTGCACCCTGCCAGGACAGATTGCCCGATGCAAGTCTATCGCTTCCGTGGCCCGTTCCTAAGTTTCGGCGTGCCGCCGGGGCGCTTGCAACTCAGCGCACAGGATCTCAACTATGTGGATGCCATCGTGGCTGGGTTTAGTGTTAAGGGATTAGGGTCTAGGGTGACAGAAGTAGTACAGGAATAGCTATGTTAGAAACCTCTTTAGGGTGAACAGTGTGGTTGATGGCAACAACGCATAGCAGCACGAACATGATCACACAGAGGTTCATGGGTAATTCTCAAGAGAGGAGTATGGAAGAAAATCACGAGGTGGCTGGGCGCTTTGACCTGGAGGAAGGCAAGCCTGATCCAGAGCCAATGATACCTTCTTCGTCCACGGAATCTTCCTTGCTGGCATTTGGGCCTTATGCCCCAAGCTTTATGCGGCCATGCGACGGCTTTGGGAGCTGCTGGTATGCGAGCAATTGGCGTGACCGCCAGCCATCTGTAGGTGGTGACTGGGAGGAAGAGGTGGTCGTAAAGTATTTTTTCGAGCTAGACATTGACCAGACTCGCAAGGAAGCTTTTCGGGCAGCCACCGCTGTATATCAACGACAGACCTGCATCAGGTTTGTCGAAGTTGACAGCAACTATAGCGAGTCTGGTAGGATTCGGGTCGGTCGCTTTCATTCCACGAGTTGCTATACCGACCTTCCACAGCCATTCGGGATAACGAAATTCAACCTCGGTTCTTGCATGAACATGAACCACCTGGGCGAAATTCTTCACCAGCTTGGCCACGCACTGGGCATGCTGGACGAACAACGCCGACCCGACGCAACAAGGACTTACCACCTACACGGGCCTCACTTGCAGGTGTTTTGGCAGAATATTCCCACCAACTGGAAAGTTGTTTTCCAGCCAAATGAGGCTGCTTACACGGGTTCCTTGAATGACGGAGTGGGGGATGCTTTTGATGGCTATGCGCCCTATGACTTCGAGAGTATCATGCACATCTCCCCGTGGCTCTACGGTATGCAGGTCTGTGGGAGAATCCTATTCCAAGACCCCAAATCCTAAATTGAAGCTATAAACCCAAACCCGAAACCCTAAACCGTAAGCCCTAAGCACTACACCCTAAACCCCAAGGTCTAAAGCCGAACCTGAAACCCTATCTAAAACCTACAGGTCTACGAGACACTTCCAGCGAGCAAAATGGGATCGGTAGGCCAGCGCAAGAACCCGTCACAGGGAGACATCCTACAGCTGCTGGATTCTTACAGGTGGGTGTTTAGGGTTCAGGGTTCTAGGGGTTAACGGGCTTCTTTCAGGGTTTTACCTGGGGTTGTTCTAGATTCGGGCCCCTTTTGCCGATCCCTGTTTTAGTCTATATTCTTCGTCGTTATTGAGGGTACAAAGCGGTGCCCTCAACCCTGAACCTTGAAGCCTAAACATTGTAAACTTTAAGCCCTAAGCTTTGCACCCTAAACCCTGAGCCCCAAGCCTGGTACCCTAAACCCAACCGGACACCCCGAGGTGCAGACGGCAGGTGTCGACCACTACCACTACCACAACCACCACACAGATGGCCAGTTTCTACGTGGCAATTTGGAATGATTGTCAATTTCCTGTATCGTGTTGCAAGGGGACATATTCATGCACAATTTTTGGGACCCTTAAAAGTACCACCCAGGTTCCACCACGACGACCACTTCAACTACAGTTGCGCAACGATGCATCCAAAACCCGGATTGTGCGGTAAATCCGTGGTGCAACGATCCGAGCTACCAAGCATGGTGCCCCTTGCATCACTCTCCTTGCCCTGCACCTTACTGCATGTACAGCGGTGGGTGATGTAACGTCGATCCGGTACTCTGTAGGTGTGCCGTAGGTGGGTGTCAAAATATGATCTACCTTCCTGTTCCCTAACCACTTTTGCTGTTTTAATCAGAGGCTGCATTTCAAAGGCAACCCCACAAAGGAGATCATGTTTGACGCCTACCCGTATAGTTCAGGTCCTGCCCCCACGCAGCAGCAGCTGGATAATCAATATTTTATGAACTTATAAAGCCTTTACTATTACCCCTATTATAGACTCTTACTGGGTAGGTGCAGTACCTGACGTATAGTCTTGTTGCAAGTTCGTGTTGCTCCTGTTTGTGGTCGACTGAAGCGACCTTGTCATGCATTTTCCTGGGTAAATTATAGCAAGCTTACCCGACCTTACCTTAAATGGTGGTATTTAGTAAGGAGTGCCAGCATCGTACAGGAATACCACCATAGTAGTAAGGAATACCACGATAATGACCTTGGCTAAACCATTCTGATTTACCCAGTCTTCTGTGCCTGCAAAGCACAATTTACAGATGGCTTCGGTCGACGAGGATCGTTTTGAATCAGTTGCAAGCGAAGGAGCGACATTTGTTTGAATGTATAGACGTATAGAACTAGCAGTAACTTGCAAGCAGTCTGCACAGAGCAGCTCTTGCCGTCTGGGAAGATGCTTGAGACAAAGATCTCTCTTGCCGTCTCCTGTTGCTGTGTCCCACCGTGCAAACCTATCCAGCGTCATCAGTATGACCGTCCCAGGCCTGAATTTACAAGAGCGTCACAGTCATGTGAGTAGTATTTTACTTGGGGTTACTATGGTACCCTATATAGAGTAAGATTATATCCTCCTTTTGGGTATAGTATTTTATATAGGGAATATTATCTTACTAGGTCCAACCACCAAAAAAAACTACTCATGTGTGAAAACGCTCTTAGTTGGGAGCATGGCAGCTGGACTAGCGAGTGGAGCGAGGTTCAACATTGAATGAACCGCACCTCATGAGAGAAACTGGTGCAACTTTGGAATCGCAGATCGCCTGAAACGTTCCCCTAAACCCTGGACCGTATATAAACCCATATAACCCCGTAATTAACAGTGTAACCCCCCTTTGAGGCCTTTGTGGGCCCTTATATCAGTGTTTATCCAGCCATGCTGCGTTTCTAAAACCCGTGTCCTGCCATGCAGGAGGGATGCACGAAAGAAATCGATGCGCTGAAGGCTGGCAGTCCTGTTAGGGTCTAGGGTGGAATTCTCATTGGGTGTTTATAGGGTTTTACAGGTTTATGTGGGGTTTGGTTAGGTGAAGCCCCCACCTACCAATGGTGACCACAAAGGATGGTGGTAATTTTTTCGGGGTCCGATTATACACTCCTACTGTACCACGATTACTGCTGGGAACTGAACATAAGCTTTAGGCTTATGCACAAGAATTTCGGAGATGGCCAATGTCTGAGGTTTCCTTTTGTGGGCTTATGAATGGGAATATAAGGTTATGTAAGGAGCTTAGCCCCAGTTCTAAACTGATCCCTAACGGGGACCCCTATCGTCTCCTCATGACTCCCACAAAATTTGCAGGGGCCCCCTAGATACGCCCATTCTGAGAACACCTGAACGGTTCCCACAATGGTTCATAGGGTCGGCCTTGTCCAGCCCCAATCTTGCAGGCCCAAGCACAACAGCTTTCGTCTACAATGCTGCATGGTTGTTTCCATATCCTTTCCCATTGTTCTAGCAATTTCCATGCGCTTTCCGTTGTCAGACAGGAAGGCAAAGTGGACATTGCTGTAGAAACGCTAAACACAAAACCCAAAACCCTAAACCCACTCGCCGTGCTCCGCGTTGTATGTCGTTTTTTTGTCCTTGGTGCCCTTTAAAAACATTAATAGTATCAATATTAGTGAATAGTAACAAGAGTAAGAATAACAATGATCATATTCCCGAATGCGTAGCAGAAGGGTTCCCGTTGTAAGGTTGGTGCGGGGTCCAGGAAGTGACCAAAAGTCGTCGCGTTTGTTTCTGCAATTGTCCGCAAAGCACTCGCGAGTGTCGCGCATCCTTGGCACACGGTTGGCAAGCGTCCTTGCGCAAACCCCATCAGGAGACCCACGAGCCCTGAACCCCAAATCCTAAACCTCACACCATTGAAGCCTGAACCCCTAAATCCTAAAAAGCCTGAAAGTTTAAAACCTGAACCACATAGGTCCCAAACCCTATTCACTTGCCTAGTTCCTTTTTTGCGCCTGGGTGGGGGCAGGGGCAGGTTTTGGGTCTGCATTTATTCAAGGCTTGGGATTCTTGTTCACGGCGTTTCTCACAATCGGAGGTCAGGTCCTCTCTGAGCGGTTGTTATGTCAAGTTTATGATGACCATCCTTGAATATGGGAGGGCGTTTGGGTATAGCCAGGCGGCGCCTGCGATCCAGGAGGTGACGGCCAAAGGCCGAGTGGTTGACCGGAGGCCGGGCCACCCTGCCACCACCCCTTACCCCTATCAACCCAATTCTGACCACCCCTACCACCCCTACCACCCCTACCACCCCTGCCACCACCACCCCTCCCCTCCCACTTCCCCTCCACGCCCTCCCTCCCTCCACCCCTCCCTCCCTTCACCCAACACTTCCACCACTCCATCAAGGGAGGGGTGGAGGGGTTGGGGTGGAGGGGGGATGTGAATTGCGATATTCTGCGATACGGACCGGTTCGGTTCGGTCAAGACATGATCAGCGATGCCAACGGTTAGTTGGGCGATACACTGCGGTATGCGATAAAAGTATTCTTGAAACAGCCATGCCTATACGCTTCTCAACCTGGTCGGCCTACCCTTGAAATTAATAGTTCTCAAAACAGTGGTCCGTGCGCAGGTCACAACAAACAAAGAGAGACTCAAGGGCACTCGCGATGGTGGGACGCGGCAAAACCTTCTAACCTCAACCTACCCCGTAGCTTTAAGAAAACGTGCACATAATAGACCATAATATACCAAAATGTACTACAATACACCCTATGTAACCCATTGTAGTAGTTTCCGTTTTCTTTTCCATTATCCCTACATAACGCCAATATTGCATTTAAGTAATCCCTATACAACATAGTAGTTTCCAAGTTCTTCTCCATTATTCCTATATAGCCCCAATATTGCCTTCCCAGATGGTGGCTTCGCCAGGCCGCTCCAGTTCTCATTCTCAGCGGGGCCCCTAGAATCGTTCTAAAAATCGTGATAAACCCCTGGAGCTCACAAGGGCCCTGGATTCCCAGAAGCCCCCAACAAGCCCTAGTGCGTCCTGAGAAGACTCCAGCCCTGTCCCGCAGCCGGCTCAGAGAAGGGTTCTTGCTGAAACGCTGTATATCTGCAGACCTTAGCGTTCACCAGTTTTGGCAGAAGTCTTATAGACACTCACTGGACCGACCAGTTCTTCTTGCTCCCCGCGCTAACTTCAGACATGTTCGACAGGTAGCAGCTTCAGCTATTAAGATACTGTGAATAGAAGTAGTCTCACGAAGCTTTACGCCATGACGCGAACGAGGATATCCTTTTGGGGCTTGTTGCTTCGGGTGTTTTAGCCGTGGTGGAGAAATTCCTGCATGACCCAAACTGCTAGGCTATGGCACTACGGGCTGTTGCGTTTGTTATTAGACAAGAGGGTAGACGTTGTGCTTGCTTAGTATGTTTGCATCCCCGCCCAGCTTTCCTACGGCAACTAACTAGATAGGGGCCGCGGATCGAACGGGATGCATAAATGCAAGCCCCTCATACATGCCCCAAGATCTTACACCAAGTGAAGGTAGCCTCCATATGTTGCAGAAGCGAACGTTTAGAAGTACAAGTCGTCGCTCGTATGTCCTTCGATTAAAGAGTGCAGGGCTTGCCCATCAGTAGTTGGGGTTAGGTTTCCGGCTGCATCCAAAAGATAGCCCTGTCATAGCCCTTGGGCAACCCTGTGTAATTAAGTCTGTGGCGGCCTGACCTTTGGCAACCCCGTTGTAAAACTAGGTTGTGGCGTTTGTCCACTCGTTCTGAGCAGAACTGCAAGATTGATCCTTGAGCAATTCCGTGGGTTCGAGACCTTAAACGGACCATATGCTGCTTATTTGAACCACTTGGCATCAGCTCCTACCGGACCATATGCTGCTTATTTGAACCACTTGGCATCAGCTCCTACCGGGTAACCTCATGCAGGTACGCAGCCCCATGCCCACATCATGTTGCAAGTTCGCCGCTCGTGCAAGAGACCAGTTGTAGATCTCCACAAAATTCAGAACCGACCTCTGAGGGAATCTAAGCCGCAGCACCACCAAATCCAACGCCAAAGTGTGCAAGCCTCATTGCCATCGTAGCGATGAGAACCAGTGGCAGTAGTTATCGTGGCAGTCAGTAATTGTTTACTGGTAAGGCTACTGTCATTAGCATTGGTAGAAGCAAAAGTGGAAGTAGAAGTAGACGAAGGAGCAGGCCTGCATGTAGAAACCCTGTGAAGGTTTTTTGATAAGCGAACTGGTGTTTCCAAAATTGCGGGGGCCATTGCGGGGGCTTTCTATATCCCAATATATATATGTACTGTATATATTGTATGGGACTTATTGTAGGGACTGCCAGAAAGGGCGATTATGGGCGCATTTCTTTGGAGACCCTAAAGTCTACACCCTTTTGCTGCTTCTATCTATGTATGCCCTATGTATCCAATAGCATCCCCCCACATAACCTGTACCCTCGGCAACTACTTCCTCGACGCCACCAAAGTTCGAAAACCTAAGCTCTAAATCCCAAACGCTACACTGCAAATCCCAAGCCCTTCACCTTAGACCGTGAATCCTAAGCCCTTCACCTTACACCCAGAATCCTAAGCCCTAGACCTCTAACCCTAGACTCAGACCCTGAATGCAAATAACTTACCCCTGGTTAGCAAGGAATGAGAAAGTGGATCCTTACAGTACGGTAGTCTTGGTATGATTCTCCAGAATACAGCAGTGTCCACTTGCTTTTCCATTCCTTTAGTCATAACTACACAGACGGGGGAAAAAAGGAGGAGCTCCACTGCGCTGGCTCTTGCTCTGGCGCTGGCTCTATGCACCTGAACTCTCCAGAAGGGATGTAATGTAGCCTAAGTCATACCAACATTACCGCAATCACGGAGAATCATATGGACAAGAAAATGGAACGGAAATGGAAGCTGGGTTTATAAAGAGGTTGAAAGGGATGGTACTGTGGAAGCCTTCTTGATGCCGATATGATGGTCCTAGGTCCTGTAAAATTCTGGTACAGGGTACTTCAAATAGACCTCAAATTAGATTGGTAATTATTTAGGCATGTACATTATGCTGATTAGTGATTTGTTGCTAAAATGCGGCCCCTTTACGCTGGTACTGGGTTATTCAAATTAAATACAACCCTCAACCTGAACCCATATGCCTTTTAGGGATGAGAGTTTAGGCTTGCAGGTGCTCATGAGTGGAGGATCAAATCAAAAATACATTGGACAACCAAATGGCAGCGGTCCGTCTAGAGATTTTTCTGTAGGTGGGTTGTCAAGATGTTGATCCCTAAGCATTGGGGATAAACCCCCCAACCTTAGAAATCCCTAAGCCCGAATCCCTTAACCCTAGACCAAGCCAAGGCTTGGGTGCTCAGCAGCTGCTCTATGTCTTGGCAGGACCAAGCCTCGTAGCTTCAAGGGATATACGGAGGAGAATAAGGTGGGTTTAGGTTGAGGGTTTAGGGATTAGGGTTTAGGGTTTTGGGGGGGTTATGTAGGGATGTCAGGGGATTTTAAAAAGGCGAATGGAAAAGAAAATGGAAGCAAGAAAATTGAAAATACAAAGGGAATTTGGGTTTATGTAGTGGTTATAGGGATTGAGATTTCCAAGAATTGGTGGGCCCTTTTTGGGGGGGCTCCTTAGGATAAGGATTGTGGGGCCATATCGGGGTCTCTCTGTTTGTGGAAAGTGCAACATGCATACACTTATTTGGAAGGTTGTCTAAAATTATGGCTGTTTTAGGGTCCACTGAAAAATGCGGGCCCGAATGCTTAGGGTACACAGAAAAGGCGCAGATTTTTGAAAGCCATCCTACCATGTGGGGTTTTTTCCATAGATTACAAAGGGCTGTTGGGGGTTCCTTTGAGCTATTGAAGTACAAGCTCAGATCAATTTATTGGTCAAGTGAATCAAGAAGGGACGATCTAGGGCTTGGCAGCCGGTTTGTGGCGCCCTTGAGCTGAAGTTGGGCAAGCGCGCAGCTTCAGGGCTTTCTTGCAAGCCCTAGATCATTGTCCTGTAGCCCTTTTTTATTGAACTTTAATTCCTGAGCCCTAGCACTAAGGAATGCACGGAAGACGGTTATCATCCCCATCTACTGTTGCTTGAGACTGTCCCGACCCTTTGCAGGAAAGCTTGCGAGCCTTTATGGGGGTCAGAGAGGGAACGGCTATAGGGCTTAATGATAGGGATACTAGGAGTTTAGACTATAGCTCATGTAGTTTCTGGAGTCTACTCTAAGTGTTGCGTGTGGATGTTACCCAGACCCTGTATAGGGTACCAGATTTGGGGTTTTATTTCCCACCAGGAGGGTCCACATGTACAGCTACTAACTACTAGGGAATTAGGACCTATATATAATCATAATCAAATCGTGGTCCCACTGTTATCCGAAGTTCTTTGGGAGTCTTCTGCCTTCGTCACAAGTGAGGACGGTTGCCACAGTCAGACAGCCAGCGACCAGCAGCAGTGCGTCTGCAGGCAGCCATCAGAGACCGTTCCTCGGCCGATCCCAACAAAACTGATAGGTCTTGCGATAATAGGCTTGTAAGGATCCCAATAGCTATTCGGCTTACAGCCAAGAACCCTTCGCAACCCCACCTACACGATGTTGCAGGGATCTTGGGCTTTCTGGAGGCAGTAGGTTAAGAGTTTTAGGTTCAGGCTGTGATAGTTTCGGCGTCGCGCTTAGAACCAAGAACTAGATGTTCTTAGCTCCGGAGCCGTGCCCTCAACAAGCTCAATTTGCCCAACGCTTTTACAGGGCATGCACTTTCTAACTTTCTAAAGGTCTATACCATAGTAGTTTCCATTTTCTTTTCCATTATCCCAATAGAACCCCAATATAAACCCAATATAACCCCTACATAGTCCCTGTAGTTTCCATTTTCTTTTCCATTATCCCCATATAAACCCAATAGGTTTGGCGGGCAAGGCGGACCTGACATGCAGGAATGTGCTAACCAGGAAGAAAGGAGCAGGATCGTGGCTGACCTTGGCACTAACCTTGGTAAGAGTTGTGCTGAGGTATATGCAGGGGCCTAAATAATTGCCAGTATTATGGTTCCATATTTCTTATATGATTACGGTCTATGATACCTCAAATGAACCTCAAACTGATCTTGGTAATTATTGAGGCCACTGTGGTATATGCAGGGTTTCTGTTGGAATCGTTGATGGTGGCAATGTTGCACCACCTTCTGACATCAACTTTCGCTCGTTCAAAACCCAGCTTCGCGGATACACTTCCATCACCCCTTTCCACGACAGAGAAAAGAACAACAATCACGCAATGCACTACAATTTTAAAGGCCTGAAGTAGTGGCAACATGATCTCTTATAACCTTTACAGAAGCCAAAGCCTGATTCCATTCTTTAGGCCCCTACATTACCGTCGACCTGGCTCCCTGCAGAGTCCTTCAATGCACAGGAGGCATGGCGTTGCGCACACTGGGTCTTGAGACCAGCTGGGAGTCAGAGCCGACCGAGGAGGAGCTGAGGGAGACAAAGGCCAATCACGGTCCCGCTCAGGAAGTTCAAGGGGTTTTAGGGGGAGAAGCAAGGTCTAAGAGAACATGGAAAAGAAATGGACATTGGTACAATCCGGGGTTCGAAGCTCGTTTTCTGCGGAAGCCTGAATGAAGCCCCAAACTTTGGCAGTATTGCATGGGGGGGTTGGCAGCGGACTATTGGATTTCTAGGCTTTGACACGGTCATTGTAGGACCGTTGGTTCAGGGGCTTCGGCGTTGTGGCGTTGGTGTTCGCATAAAGGTTTGATCATCGAAGGTTTCAGGCTGCTTCAGATTCGCTGAGACGCAGTGTTGGCTTTCAGGGACGCTTTTAGAGATTCGGTTTGGGGGGTGTGGGGTTTGAATTCCCGAGGGTTACTTGAGTGCCGAAAGGACTAGAGTAACAATGAACGAGATTTTCATTTCGCCGGAATATGCTGCAAGGAACTCTTTTAGCCTCATATCTTCAAGGTGCTTCAAGCTTACTGATCTCACCTCATTTTTGAGCCATCCTTGACTTGCTATATCCCAAGGCAGGTCCCCGTTCCCGGAGGCTTAGATTACCTCTATCCCCATATTGTTCTGTTAGGCTATCGCAGGGAATCCTGCAAAGAACTTGCATCATCCATTGAGAACCTGCCAGAAGCACAAGCTTGCATTTCTATTGCTGCAGGAGCTGAAGAAAGCTTATCGGCAGGCTGTTCGCACTTCTCACCCCGATGCCCCTGGAGGCTTTGGGCAATTCTGGTCAACCTGGGGACCTGCAAAACATGGCATCCCAAATACCGATCATTCTATGCAGAATTATTTGGGCATCCATGTCTGTGCAACCGGCCGAATGCCTGGGAACACGTCATAACTTGAAGTTTGAGCAATCCTGCACATTTCCCATAGGGTCCATTTGTTGTAGTTTGTACTATTCAGACCGGGGTCCAGTTCAGATGATGCATTGATGAGTGCTCTCTCTCTCTCTCTCTCCTTGTGCTGATGCTAGCATCACCCAGATAACTGGGCCTATAGTCCCCCTTTAAGTAGATAGAATATGGCTTTGGGTGTTTTTTCATATACCCCATATTCTCTACTTAATGGGGACCATACCCCAAACCCTAAACCCTGAACCCTAGTTTCCATTTTCTTTTCCATTATCCCAATATAACCCTAATATTCTATCTACTTAATTGGGGCTATACAAGCGTTGGGGTTCAAATGCTCGTTCATTGGGGGGCTCTGAGCAGCTAAAGCTTCAAGCCGCTCCGTCCTCCCCTCGTCGAATTTGGGCTTCTGGCCTTGGGGCTTGCATGGGGCATAGTATATGGGGGTTATATAAAGATACTGGAAAATGAAAACTACTATAGTATATGGGGGTTGAAAGGCATATGGGCAAGATGTACACAAGGAGGTACGCTAGACTAAAAAGGCCGTCCTTGATGCGCAGGGCTTCATGTCCAGACATTTGCAAGCTGCAAAACCTGAGTAGACACGAGGCTCAAGGAAGTTTCCGTGAGGCTGCATGCCTGAGCCATTGAAGCCTACACCTCCTCTTGGTCCTACAAGCTGAAGCCCTACACTCCTTTAGACATCACACCCCCATCCCCTCCAGACCTCCTGGAGCACCCCAAGCGCGAGGCAGTGCGCAGAAGCTTCAGGCTGTCAAAGAGGCCTACGACTTTCTCCTCAATACGCCAACGGCGGTCTGGGATGAGGGAATCCCGGTGACTTGCCCCAGATTGACACCACTTTTGCCTGAGCTGAGTTGCCCTGGGGCATTGTAAATTCAAGAACATGGAAGAAAGGGCTCTGAATAGCGGCGATACTCATTCCAGCTTATTCGTTGTCATTCCCTGCCAAGCGCTTTGGCATAATGTACCATTTCTGCTCGAGGTAGACAGGAGTCAGCAAAGCATAGACAGCAGTGTTTCAGGCACTTGCTGCTGATTCTCGTAAAAGGCTAATGGCAGCAGGCTATGACAAGGCCTGCTATTGCGTAGGGGGATTCGGGCATTCTACTGAATTGCAGGATGAGTAGTATCATAGGGGGGGCACATAGACGGAAACCATGGCTTGCAGACATTCTCATATGTTTACCAGCGGTGCCCGACCAGCAGAGGTGAATGAGCGAAGAGCCTCCACGACCTACACCTCCCCGGGAAGGAAGTGGCCAAGATATCCCCAGGAAAGGCCTAAGGCCTGGGACGGACCCCGGCGAGAGGCGGGAGCTTTTCAGAAGTGGGTTACGGCTTTCTGGTATTCGTTAAGTGCTCACATGCTAATGCTTGGGGACTACCCAGCACGGAATGGGGTCAAGGGCAAGGCTCCACTTCATCTATAGATTCTCTCTCTGCTTCGGGTGAGCGATTTGCTTGTTTTGCCGGGCCGTTGCTTTGTGGCTCATCTTTGATGGGATGAGGAAGACTGTTGCTGCGAGACATCTGCCCTAAGCAAGGTGATCATCGGTGGCGTCGTGTTGGGGACGTTGGTCAGCATTGCCATTGCCTCGCAGGTCCGCGTAGTAGTGGAAGCAGAGCTTTCCACGATTCTGCGCCTACCTTTTAACTGCATTCTGGTTTCATCACAAGCCGTATGTACTTCCTTCAACTCCCCCGCATGCCTCATGCAGCCCTTCACTTACTTCACCGGAGGTTGTGTCTACCGCGCCGAGGGATGAGTATCTGGCCAGCCTGAAAGACATGGAGGGCATGGAGGGTTTGGGGGGCTCCAACGAGAAGCTGCCACTAGGTCTGTCTTAATATGGTAGCTTCTACCAATATGCGGGGACCCCGATGTAGACCCCAATATATTATAACCCTTATTATGGCGACCATCCGTACTTTTTCGTGATGTTTGAGGAAACTTCCATGTTTGAGCCTCAACAGAAATCCTTGCATAGCCTTTCCCTCCTCTGATTGTCCTCAAGAGCTACCAAAAAGCATAATCCCTAAACTCAGGCCTGAACCGACCCCGTAGACCCCAAACCGGCGTTCCGACTGAAGGCCGCCCCTTGTGAAGAACGGTGGTTACAAGCTTGGGGAGGTCTATCGCCAGTTCGCCGATGAAGCCATTGGAGTCCCTTGAGTTCGCTATAGGGATTGAGGGTGATTTCGGAATTGGGATGCAGAAGCTCGTCCTGTCCCCTCAAGATTCCCACGCAACCTCGTTTGATAGCCTTATCCTGCCGGATCCTTTGATGTTGTACACCATCATCCCGAATTTAGCGCCGTCCCGGTGCCCCAGATTCCTGGTGGCATCCCACGTTCAACAAAACTAAGCCCTAACGGTGAGAATGGCTTCAGCTACTTGTCCTGTGGCTCTGACCGTGGCCCTAGCCCATCTCGCCTCGTAAACGTTTACCTGAAACCATCTCAAACCCTATAGGCCCTAGACTTGTGCCTCCCCAGCCTACGCGCCTTTCAGCCCCAAACCTTTTGACCAAAAAAGCCTGGACAGGACGCTCGTCGTACACATCTATCCCCGAAGCACTAAAAAAGTTCCCTCATGTTGGGAAACTCCAAACGCTAGATATCCCGGCTATAATCTCCTCAACAGAAAGCTCCCTGTTTCCATTTGAAAGGAAGCCTCAAAATTCAGGTCAGCCGCCCCATCCTCCTCCTTGGTGACTTGCTTCCCGGAGGGCCAGCAAAGCAGGGCCTGGGCACCGTGGAACGCGCCACTGCTTTGGCCACCTATTTGTGGAAGCCTCAGGGTTCTGAAGGGTGAGATGTTTAAGGCTGAAGGAGCTTGGGATTTAGTAGTAAGGACCTAAAGCTGACCTTAGCCTCTGACGTTCCGGGAGCAGTTGTTATAGGTAGGACTTGGGGTTTGGAGCTTGAGGCTTTAGCATGGTGAGTTAAGTTTTTCTCTCCATAGTTGCGGCCTGAGGGTTTGAGACTGAGGAAGACAAAGAGTGCGCAAGGAGCAACAAGAATGATAAAGCAAGGTAGACAACCACGGGGAGACTAATCAGAAGAAGAAGGAATGGGCCACTCAGACTGCAAGGTTGTCTGCCTTGGCCGCAAAGAAAGACAACGGCAAGCCAATGCCTCTCGCCAGCGCTTATTGGTCGGTAGGCTTCTGATCAGCTGCTGCTCTCTATTCAGTGTCCCGTAGGGTTGTGGAACGATTTTGGGGATGTTGCAGCAGGCGCGCCCGTTTAAAACTCCAGGCTCCTGATGATACCAGCCTGTAGCACTGCGAATTGCGCTTCAGATTGTTTTTGTTTTAAGGCTAAGCCAGTGCTACAAAATCACTTTCAATTCTCGGCCAGTCTGCATCCGCTCAGATCTTGATTCTTTCGGCCGCTGCTCCAAGAGACATATTCAGTGACTCTGAAAGACTTCTTGCACGTGGATGTGCTCAAGCCCACTGGTCGTGACGGCAGCCATCACGAATACGGTGGTGGGGGCTGTTGTGCAGGGAGGGAGTTCAATGTGTCTAAGTCGAGGGTAGAGGTATCTCTACAAAAAATGCACTGTCATGTAAGGGGGAGAGACGGCGTATTCGGTCCAGTCGGGACAGCTCGGTTTCTGATCAACATAAATATCGGACCGCCCGAGTTTGTATGCTGTGATGCGCCGTCGCATCTCCTCATCATTTACTCCGGATACGTGAATCTTTTCTTTGTTCGTTGCAGACGGAGCCTGCGTAGAAATAACTTGCAAAGTGGTTTAGAGGCCAACCAAGAGCAAGTCCATATTATAATTTCAGTGGCGCAAGCCAAGGTATGACTCCATTACAGCCGTGCTCACCCAGGACGACCTTCAGGCAGTCGCAAGGCTGTTTCTGGGAATCACAGTGGAGGAACGCTTGGAGCTAGTGATTCTGTGGAGATTTTTTAGGCTTAGAGCAACTTAATCTTAGACCCAAAGCCTTATGGAATCTATCTGCCGGGCAGGGTCTTTCACCACAGGATCACCCAAGGCTGAGTCATGTTCATACGTAGATAAGAACTGCAGAAGCCCGAATATAGCAACTAATTATGAGCCCTCCATAATCCCCATAATTGACCATGGCAGCGCAGGACGTGATTGCAAGAATAAATTCAAATGATACACCGGCCTGAAGACCCTAATCAAAATCATGCATGGGCCCCTTACATTATGCGCCTCATATTTCCTCTTGTCAGTATGAAGGGGACCAGGGATCGCAGCTACATGACAGGAATAGGATAGTTACTGCAATTCTATACAAAGGAGCAGCACCAATAAACAGATTTGCAATATTTGTTAACAAAATCCACCCTAAACCCTAAACCCTACCTAAATAGTAGGTTACTGGGCTATGTAACTATAGGGTATATAGAACCCAGTTCCCATTATTTAGGTAACTGGAGCCCTAGGGATCCATAACAAGCGCCTGGGAGCTTGGAAAGGAACTTACATGTCAA